CCCAGACTGGAGTGCAGTGGCCGCTCCTGGCCACCGCAGCCTCGACCTGTTGGGTTCCGGTGATCCTTCTGCCTCAGCCTTCCGAGTAGCTGGAATTACAGGCATGCGCTACCACGCCCAGCTGATTTTTTGATTTATTGTAGAGATGAGGGCTCGCCAAGTTGCCCAGGTGGATCTCGAACCCGCGGGCTCAGGCAATCCACTTACCTCGGCCTCCCAAAGTGCTGGGATTACAGGCTGAGCCACCGAGCTCGGCAATTTAGTGGCTTTTAATATCTCACAAAGTTTTGCAATTATCACCACTATCTAGTTCAAAAGTTTCATCACCTGAAAAATAAACTCTTTTTTCTTAAGGAGAATAAAAGAAAGAAGATGTAGTCTGAAGATGTAGGTTTCGGGAGGGGGGAGAGAGAGAAAGAGAGATCCTATACCCATCCCATCTTCTTTTAGTCACTGGCAAACTCTAATCTGCTTTCTATCTCTGTGGATTTGCCTATTCTGGGTGTTTTATATAAACAGAATCATATAACATGTATCCTTCTGTGTATGACTTTCACTTAACAAAAAGTTTTAAGATTCATCCATGTTGTAATATGTTCAGTATTCCTTCTTGGCTGAATGATATTTCATTGTATGGATATACAACATTTTGTTTATCCATCCATCAGTTGATGGACAACTGTGTTGTTTCACTTTTGGGCTATTATGAATAATGCTGCTATTAATATACAGATTTTGTATAAACATGTTTTCATTTCTTTTGGATATATACCTAGGAAAGGGGTTGCTAGGTCATGTGGTAACTCTATATTTAACATTTTGAGGAACTTCCAGACTGTTTTCCAAAGTACTAAGCCATTTCACAATCCCACCAGCAATATATAAGGGCTCCAGTTTCTCCACATCATCACTAACACTTTATTATCTTTCATACTATAGTCATCCTAGTGGCTGTAAAATAGTATCTCATTTGTATTTCCCTACTGACTAATGATGTTGAGCATCTTTTTAAGTGAGTGCTTATTGGTCTTTTGCATCTCTTCTTTGGAGAAATGCCTATTCATATCAGTTGCTCATTTTTTATTCATGTTATTTGCCTTTTTTATTGTAGAGTTGTATGAGCTTTTAAAAAAATATCCTGGATACAAATCCTTTATTAGATATATGATGTGCAAATATTTTATCACATTCTGTGCGTTATCTTTTCACTTTCTTGATGGTGTTTTTGAGCAAAACAAGCTATTAATTTGATGAAGTGTAATTTATCTTGTTTTTTTTTCTTTCACTGCTCATGCTTCTGCGTCATAGCTAAGAAACTGTTGCCTAGTCCAATATTATGAAGATTTACCCCTATGTTTTGTTCTATGACTTTCATAGTTTTAGTTCTTTTGTGTAGATCTTTGCCCATTTTGAATTAATTTTTATATATGGTGTGAGGTAGGCATCCAGTCTCATTCTTTTGCAAGTGGATAATCAAAATTGTTCCAACACCATTTTTTGAAGAGAACATTCTTTCCTTATTGAATTGTCTTGACATTCTTCTCTAAAATCAATTGGCTATAAATATGAGTTTATTTCTAGACTCTCAGTTCTATTTCTATGATCTATATGTCTATCCATATGCCACTGCCACATTGCCTTGATTACTATAGCTTTACAGTGAATTTTAAAATGGGGTAGTGTGAGTTCCTGAATGTTTCTTTTTCTCAAGATTGTTTTGGCTGTTAGAGATACCTTGTATTTCCATATGAATTATAGGATCCATTTGTCAATTTCTGCCAAATGGCAGTTGGTATTTTGATAGAGATTGTGTTGAATTTTTAGGTCAATTTATCATTTTAATGACATTGCCTTCCAATCTATGAACATGAAATGTCTTTTTATTGATTTAGGTCTTCTTTAATTTACTTCAATGATGTTTTGTGTCTTCTTGTGGAACAGGTTTTACAATTCTTTTGTCAAATACTTATTATAATACACTTAATATAATTAATATAATAATAAGCAATAACTACTTATTACTAAGTATTTAATTGTTTTACACTTTTATAAATGAAATTGTTTTCTTAATTTTTTTCAGATTATTCATTGCAAGCATATAGAAATATAATTGATTTTTGTATATTGATATTACATTTGAAAACTTGATGAATTTGTTTGTTAATTCTATTTTTTTTGTGTGGATTCCTTGGAACTTTTTATATACAAAATCATATCATGTATAAGTAGAAACAATTTTGTTTCTTTCTGATGTAGCTGTCTTTGATTCTTTTCTCTTTCTTTTTTTTTCTGACTGGAACTTCTAGTACACTGTTGAATAGGTGTGGCAAGAGTTGACATCCTTGTCTCATTCCTTACCTTAGCAAAAAGCATCCAGTCTCTCATTATTAAGTATGGTGTTAGCTGTGGGTTTTTCATAGATACCTACTATCAAGTTGAGGAAGTTTCCTTCTTGTCTTAGTTTGTTGAGTATCTTTTATCATAAAAGGGTAGGGTGGAAAGTCTATGGAAATTCTGTCAAATACTTTGGTTCATTTTTTAAAATTCTAAATACAATCAAGAAAAAGTAGCTAGGTTTCCATACTCATTGGCTTACATCTAGTGGTAGAAGACAGACAAATTAAAAAGTAACTAAGAAAAAGATGTCAACATCTAATGCTGAGCCTAAAACAGTAGAGAAGTTTGTTGATATAAATGAACAAATGAGTATGACATGTAAATTAATATGTCAATTTAAAAATTAGGATTCTTTATGAGCAATTCAGATAAGTGCCATAGATCAGTGGGTGATGGGAAGAAGAGTGGGCCAATTGGAACAGGCTTAATGAAAGAGGTAGGTCTTGGAGAATGGGTAGAATTTGGTTAGATAGTGAGAGGCCATTCTGAATTGGGCTATAGCAAAAACAAAATACACAGTCAGGTAGGAGTACTATTTGCTTGCAGACAGATCATCTAGAGGAGAGTACATGTTGGGAGAGGTGAGACGTGAGAATGCAAAACTAAATTAAGAGTCATTTCCATCAGACTAAGTGCATCTTCTGTATGGCAGACTATATGGTATCTCAGAACTTTTTAAGCAAAAAGATGGCACGATCAAATTGTCATGAGGAAAGGCAATCTGATGATGTGTTAAGGGGTGGGTGGTGAGGAGAGAGGACATAGGAGACCTCATGGAGACTATGATGGTTACTAGGAATGAGGTGAGGAGGTTGGAATTATGTGAATGTAGAAAGCGATGGATAGACACCAGAGACATTTTTATGAAACAGTTAAGCGACTTGATGACATATGAATGGATATAGGCTGAGAAGAAGACAGGAGAGCCCATTGTAATTTAAAGGCTGTGAGCCTACCAGGTGACTGGGGACCATGGCAGAACAACGTCAATCACAAAAAGTCAGAGAGGAAGTCTTTCTGGGAGAAGCGCAATAGAAGAACAGTGAGGTCAATCTTTGCTTTAGCAGAAACTCCAGAAGGCTGGGAATAACAATTTTGTTTTAAATCGCGATGTTTCCCAGACTGGTCTTGAACTCCTTGGCTCAAGCCATCCTCCCAACTCAGTCTCCCAAAGTGTTGGAATATAGGCATGAGCCACCATGCCCACCTTGGAATGGAACTTTCTTTGAGTGTCATCAGCATCCAAGCTCACTGGGCACTGGGCACATGGCATTAATGGTGGTCAGAGAGCCAGCAAGTGCCTAAAAGAAGAGCAGTTAACCCAGGGGCAGCTAACCCTAGGACAGCAAACCAAAAGGCTTGCTCCCAGGTCTAGAGGCTGGTACTGGGGCAAGTGAGATTATTAATCTGGTTCCAAGAAAGTGGATGCTGAGGTGACTCTGAAGACATGCTAGGCTGAAGGGAGAAATCAAAGTTAGCCAGGTCTACAGAAGGAGTCGCATAGAGGCAGGAAACCATGTACCTCCGGAAGGGTGTAAGGGAGAAGGGACAGAGGGTGAGAGAGGTAAGGAGGAAGTGAGAAAGGAAGAAAGAGGAACTTGTATGCATGGAGCCTTATTTAGTCCTCAGATCAACCCTGACAGGCTGGTATTATGAACTCTATTTTACCGATGTGGACACTGAGGTTCAGGTTGCATTACTTTCTAAAGTTTGCACAACTAGTAAGTGGTAGACAGGATTGGACCAGGCTCCACAACCCCACTCTTTTCTCTACCCCTGGGTGCCCCATCACAGGGTTAGAGGTGGCCCTCACAGACCTCCAGAGCTCCAGGAACAATGTCCGACACCACACAGAGGAGATCAGTGTTGACCGCCTCCTTGTTCGCCGGGGCCAGGCTTTCAGCCTCACCCTGTACTTCAGGAATCGGGGCTTCCAGCCAGGCCTGGACAACATAATCTTCGTGGTTGAGACTGGTGAGGACTCCAGCTGGCTCACAGGGGCTGTGGGTGCCTGGGAGAGGAGGTGGGGGGACTTGGAGGTCACCACAGAAGGCCTCAGCTCTGTTTCCCTCCCAGGACCGCTGCCAGACCTGGCCAAGGGGACTCGGGCGGTGTTCAGCCTGGCAGGTCGTGGTGGCCCCAGCCTCTGGATTGCCTCGCTGGAGACCAATGGGGCCAACTCCCTAGAGGTGAGCTTGTGTGCTCCTCCCATGGCGGCTGTGGGTCGGTACCTCTTGAAAATCCACATCGACTCCTTCCAAGAGTCTGTCACAGCTTACCAGCTTGGGGAGTTCATCCTGCTCTTCAATCCTTGGTGCCCAGGTAAGGCAGGGTGTCCATATGGGGGACCCTCATCTCTGTTTCTCTGTTTGTGCTGCCATGGAGATAGGCTCAAGGGTTTCTAGACCTGATTCCCTGGCCACCCTCAAACTTTCCCCAACCCATGCATAGCATCCATCCCCAACCTCCAATGACCAGGGCAGGGAAAACTTGCTACTTATTTTCTTATTTAGAATTTTCAAATTATAAACTAAATCATCTTTACTTAAACAGAAAACTACTACAATTAAACTTGACCACTGTTAACAGCTACCTTCATTATATATTTTTAAGTTAATTAGAGTTTTTTTCATTATAAAAGTAACAAATTATACTGCATTAAATATCTGTGGAATAAAGTAAAAGGTAAAACAAAAAAAGAAGAAAAAAAAATAAGGCAAAAAGTAAAGCCCTTCAATCTCCAGGTTCTGTTCACTAGCAGAACCTTGTCACGTTTTCTTGTGTAGCCTTATAAAAGTGTCCTATGCTTAATCAAGTTTGTGTTTGTGATTCTACTGTACATACCTCAAGTAGGATTATATAATGCATATCATTCTCCAACTTACTTTTTCATTTAACAATTTAACTTTGGACATATTTTCCCATTAGAGCATTCTTCTTAGTAGCTATAATTATCCCACTGTTTGAATGCACCAAATGTTTTTTAACCAGTTCTCTATTTTGGGGGCATTTTGACTGCTTCCAGTTTTTTCTTCTATAAACAAAGCCACAGTGAATATCTCACACTTGCTGTCCTACACGCCTCAACCTCGTACTCTTCTTGGGGACAGGGGTAGATACATAGACATAGAACAGGTGTAGATGGAGTGAAGCACAAGCTAGGAGGAGAGAGTTGGAAGACAGGAGTCAGAAGTAGAGGATGGGTCTGGTGTGCATTTGGGTCAGACTCCCAAGTCTTACTCTGACTTAGGGAATGATCCCCTTCCTGTCTTCCTTCTCTTTCTACCTTCTCCTCCAACCTTATCCAAGGGGTCTGCCAGTGGAATTAGGATCTAAAACTCTGGCTGGGTTCTAACAAAACCTCTTACCACCTCTCTGCCACTGAATGGCTCAGCATTCTCACTCACCAGTCAGGTGAAGAGGCCCTGTCATAGATCAAGGAGGGCCAGTTGTTCATCTTCTTTCAGTTTCTGTCTCTTTCTCTTATATATGCACATACACCCCCTTCACACTACACCCTCTCTCTGCTCCTAGCCCCCAAGATTGAGGACTTTTAAGCTGTAGGGAGCACAGTGTTTACTGTGGTATCTTCTTTCCTGAGCTGGTGCCACACCCAGGTCCTAGGAAGACTCAACACGGGGCCTGGGGATTGGGAGGGACCAAAGTCAGGATGGCAGCTGCTCCATCACTGTGCCTTGGCTGAGAAGCTCCACCTATAGTTCAGGTCCCAGCTATGAGGAGGCATGTGCATGGTCTCAACTTTGAACCTGCAGCTTCTCACCCCATTGACCCAAACCCTCAATAAAATGCATCTCAGCAGGAAGTCCTCCAGCTCCACATCCTGTCAGGCTGTGTCTGAGGCTGCCTCTGAGGAGGGGAGAAGGTCACCTTCCTCTCAGGGTCAGACAGAGCTTCCAGACAGTTCCAGGACACTCCAAAGAGGACATCTGCTCCCATGGCCTTTTGGGATTTTTGATGTTGTTCTTAACTTTAAAAAGATAATTGTTTGTATCATTAAAGCAACACATGTTCATTCCAGAAAATTCTAGGGAAACCAATAAAAATACTATTTTAGACAGGCAAAAAAAAAAAAATACTATTTTAGACAGGCATGATGGCGTGCCTGTATGTAGTTCCAGCTGCTTGGAAGGCTAAGGTAGAAGGATGACCTGAGTCCAGCAGGTTGAGAATATGATAGTTGTGAGCATACCACTGGACTCCAGCCTGGGTGACAGAGTGAGACTTCAACTAAAAAAAAATAATTACTATTAATATCTTTTGGAATAGACTCAAAATCCTCTGTTTATACATGTTTTTAAACAAAATCATTTCATGCCATACACATTATTTTGTAACCTATTTAAACATAATATATCATGTGTAGATTTCTATGTCTGTATTTACAATTTTGCCACCTTATATGGATATTGAATAGAATTTCATGGTAGAGTTGTACTGAAGCTATTTAACCACCCAAGAACAGGGTATTTGGGTTGTCCCCAGCTTTTCAGTATTACAAACAGCACTCAGATGAACAGCTTAGGATCTAAATCCTTGTGCACATCCTCAATACTTTCTTTTAGATTAAATTCCCACAGAAGGAATGATGAGGTCAATGTCAGCCCTTATGTTCTGATTTGCTCTTTTCCAACCAGGATTGGTATAGCAGAAAAAGCACAGAACATGGAATCACATGGGCTGTGTTCAAATTCCGGCTCTGTACTTATGCATGATTTGGGCAAATAACTTAATCACTCTGAGACTGCTTTCTCAACCATAAATGGGGCTAGGGTGTTAGGGTGAAATTCCACCAGAGGCAAATGTTTGTAATTCCACCTCATACTGAGCCAGTTGCTGGTGTTGGAGGCGTGGGCTCCCCAAGACCACCCCATTGTGCCCCACTTGGCATCACCAGGGGCCTTCTTCAGAGCTCAGTTTCCTTGGGACTATGGGGCTGGGAATGGTGCAGGAAGGGAGGATGACTTTTCTGCTTTGTGCCCTGCCACTCTGATCCCTAGAGGACGCTGTCTACTTGGAGAGTGAGCCCCTGAGGCAGGAGTATGTTATGAATGATTACGGCTTCATCTATCAAGGGAACAAAAACTGGATCCGACCGTGTCCCTGGAACTATGGACAGGTGACTCTCAGTCCTCCTTGTGGCCCTTCCAGGCCCTGGGCCGATTGGGAGAGGGGAATAGGAGTTGGGTGCATTTGAGGTTCATCCAGAACTGCCTGACCAATGCTAACTAAATGCCTCCAGGAAGATGTGTGATGCAAGCCCAGCTTGCTAGAGGAGCAGCCATGGGAAGTGGGAGGGTCCATCCCTTTGTTGATTGTATCTGATTTGGACAACAGGATTTAAGGGGAAAGGCAGTTAAAGGCACCCCACTCAGGAATTCCACTGGTATAAGAGTGAGGTTGAAAGGGACAGCAATGACCACAGCAACGATGGTGTCTGGTATTTTCGTTAAACTGTTTCCAATGAGGTCCCTTTTTCCACGCTGTCACTTCATCCCCACAACCCCTGGTGACAGGCTCTAACATCCGATTCTGTCACATTGAGGAAAATGTGTCCTGCATTTGGGTTTGGGCATGGTGTCCCCAAGATCCACTCCCCTTGTCCCCCTCTTAGTGTCACCAGGGATCATCTCCAGAGCTTGGTTTCCATGGGATTGTGGGGATGGGAATGGGGCAGGATGAGAAGTGGCTGACCATTTTAGCCAGAAGCAGGGCTGATGTCCAGCAATGCATCTCCCTCCCTTCAACTACTGCCTCTTTATTTATGTGTTTTTGATGATATGTCTTTTTCATTATGAAAGTGAATACATGACTATTTTTTAAATGTTGCAAAGAAACATCACAAAAAGAAAAATTAAGGTCACCTGATCATGGTCACAGCTTAGTATAGGTTCTGCTACATTCTGTTTTCTACACATATTCTAAAAATTGACTTTATATGGAAAAATAGATTTGCCATGCAGGGCACACACACCAGATGAGTTGTGAGCATGGAGCTTTGAAACTCCATGCCTGAATGGAGACAGTCATGGCTGTTCTGTTTGACACAGTTACCTTCCAAATGGTTTTGTAGTCCACAAATACACTCCATTGGAGAGTGGAGTGGGATGGGTTACATATTTTTTACATACTCCTACGTGCCAAGCATGGGTACATCCCCTCTTTGCATCTCCCCCTGCAGTTTGAAGAGAATATCATAAACATCTGTCTGGAGCTGCTCAGCAAGAGCCTGCACTTCCAGATTGACCCAGCCACAGACTGTGCCCTGCGGGGAAGCCCTGTCTATGTGAGCAGAGTGGTGTGTGCCATGGTGAGCTCCCCGGCATGCCTGGGGAGGGAGGAAGCCGTGCAGTGGTAGCCCTGCCTAAGCACAGTTGCCCCTTGCAATGGAGAATGAGGAATCGAGAGGCAGGGCCCTCTGGCAAAGCAATTTTGGATGAGACTGACACCCGCATGTGGGTAACACATTTCCTCAACTGAGTTCTGAAATAGCTGGGTGTGGGCCATCACCTCTATTAATTCCAAATTGCATGTTTTGGGAAAGATTGACTCTAGCTCCAGTTTGGGAGATGATCTTGTTGTTCCCAAATTTCCTTTGCTCTGAAGTATTTTTAAAATTTCTCAGAGCCAGGTTCCAGCTTTGTAGGGAATGGGAGGACATGGGGTCAAGGGGTAGGAACAGAATAATACATGAATTAACAGTGGAGCACAAGTTAGAATAACTGACCTCCACCCTCATCCCTTTCCCAGCAGGTCTGCAAGCCCCAGTAAAATGAGGTCAAAAGTCTCCTCTGTGTCTCAGGCCCATGGGTCCCCCATGGCAACCCACACATCACAGCTTGTTGAGGAAAGGAATGTTTCTAATGCTTCTGTGTATGGCTTATCTTCAGATCAACAGCAATGATGACAATGGAGTGCTCAATGGAAACTGGAGTGAGGATTACACAGATGGCACCAACCCTGCGGAGTGGACGGGCAGTGTAGCCATCCTGAAGAAGTGGCATGCCACAGGCTGCCAGCCTGTGCAATACGGGCAGTGCTGGGTCTTTGCTGCCGTCATGTGCACAGGTAGGAGGTGGACAGGAGCCTACAGAAAGACCGAAAGTATAGCAGCTCCAGCTCCTGTAATGAGCCCTTTGAAGTATTGTTGTCCTAGTCTCACACAGTTCCCACCAGGGGACATTTGGAAGGAAGCCTTTTCCCTCTAAAACGTCTCCTCGCTGACCTCAGGCTTCACTTGCCTGAACTTATTTCAGACCATGGTTCTGAAGTGACACTCATACACTTCCCAGAACCTGGTGCCCTTTCCTTCTCTACTAAGGCAACCTAGCAGCATATTCCTAAGAGCCTGGATGGGAAAATGTCGAGGTTCGAGATAGAAATGAGATGAGAGCCAAGTAATTAGGAAACTTACAAACTGATCAGTGCCCTTTCTGGGCACAGAGAATGGGTTCTGCATATGGAAGCAAAATGTATATCTGGGCTGTAGTGTGGGCCTTGGGGCTGGAGCAAGATGGCAGCCCAAGTAAAATGGTTTTGAATTTGGAGATATCCCAAGGTCAGGGAGCCTGGGGACCTGACTCAGGCAAGGGAGTTAGGGGATGGGGGAAAATGAGAGGTCAGTTTTTCAGATCGGAGATAGATATTATATTAATAGAAGAAAAGCTAAAAAATACATATGGGCAAAATAAGGCAAATGGAAATTGGTTTGTGTGTGTGGTGAGAAGAGCAAGCAGGAGGAGACGGCGAAGAAATCTCAAGGGAAGTGATACCTGGAAATGAGTCACCACTGGAGAAAAAAGAAGGAGGCCTTCTTCTTCACCCAGGGCCAAGCACTTGTTCCTGGTCCTCATCCTTGTCCTGCTCCCACGCCTAGGCCAGCTCTCAGCCTCTTGATGAACATACCCTAATTTGGGCCACAATTGGGAAGTGATCAGTTGTGCTAGCTGGGGAAAGGGGCCAATAAGGCTTTCACTCACAGGACTCTAGTTGAATCCAAGGAGGCCAGAGATCTGTCCATAACTTCATGTCTACTGTGTAGAAATTCCCTATATGATAAAAGCTTGATGTAGTCTGTGTGTATGTGTGTGCTGGGCCTCTCTCTGGGCTCCTACAGGAATGCGACAGCCCTGGAGGAAGCTCAGAGAGCCCCAGGCTGCCACGTAGACAGAACCAGGCCTCTGTTCCAGGGTACAGGGAGGTTTCTGTCAAGACCAACAGAGTGACTTCACACTAGTTGATGAGGATGATCAGTAAGTCCTGAGCTTACTTCTCTACAGCTGCTCAGCTCCATATTGAGTTGGATACTTTGAATGCCCAGGGATAAGAAGCAAGGAAATCGACAGCTTTGAAAGTCAAAATCATGGAGATTTGGATGAAGTTTGAGGTCTGAGTCATTCAGAAGACAGGCACAAGACTGACAGGCAGAGAATGGATCTTGTACAAGATAGAGAGGAAGCCTTCCAGTGTGTGGAATAACCTAGAGTCTAATGGGCCAGGTGTGTGTGTGTGGAGAAGGAATGAGCTGGATTTGGGTGTGGTTGTCTGGAACTGGGTGATGAGAGAAGTGGAGCCAGTGAATGGAGATTATGCAATGACAGTAGACCAATTAAAATGTTTATGAGAATTATGGCCCTTTAGTGACCTGGAAAACAAAGAGTCAGGGAAAGTGGGTCAGATGTGGCCCAATCCAGCTGCAGCTCAATGGGCACCAGCCTTTCCCAAAATGGCCACTGTGGTTACATATTAATAAATATAGCAGTCACTAATTCATCCAACAATACTTAATGAGTCTTTATTTTATACCAGGTCTCTGTCTTCCACCAAAGTTAAAGTTAAGAATTTTGTCAAACTCTTCAACCAAAAACAGCTCCCACTGCATTTTTTTAAAAATTGTTATTGCCGGGCTCGGTGGCTCAGCCTGTAATTCCGCGCCTTTGGGAGGCTGAGGTGAGTGGATTGCCTGAGCCCGCAGGTTTGAGACCTGCCTGGGCAGCAATACCTCATCTCTACAATAAATCAAAAAATCAGCCGGGCGTGGTAGCGCATGCCTGTAATTCCGGCTACTTGGAAGGCTGAGGAGGAAGGATCGCTGGAGCCCAGCAGGTCGAAGCAGCGGTGGCCGGAAGTGGCCACTGCACTCCAGTCTGGGCGACAGAGTGAGACTCCAACTCAAAAAAAAAAAAATGGTTATTATTTTATATCCATGATAGCTAATATTTATTGGGGACTTCCTCTGTGCCAAGCACTGTGCTAAAACCCTGACAGCCTAGAGTAGGGGTGAAGTACGTAGACTCTGGAGACAGACTGCTAATACCAGCACTACCAACTTTGGGCAAGTCACTTAACGTGTGCCTCAGTTTCCTCAGATGTCAATGGGGAAAGTAATAAAACGTATCCCACAGGGTTATTGAAAGGATTGAGTGAGTTCATACTGGAGAGTGCTTAGAATAGTGCCTGGCTAGAGTAAGTGTTAAGTATGGTAAGTATCAGTAAGTATTTATGTAAGTATCAGTAAGATTTAGCTAGGGTTATCTCGTTGGAACCCCAAAAGACCTGATGATGTAGGGTCTATCATCTCCACTTTACAGATGAGGGAACTGAGTGGCACAGTCAGTCTCACACCCAAGACTGACTGACTCTGCAAGCCAGGCTCTAACCATCAGGCAATACTACCTCATGAATACTGTTAGCAGTTGCCATTTATCCAGCACCAAGTGCTTTAGAAACACACTGGGCACTTTCATTATTTCTAATTCTCACAACCATTTGCAAATGTGATATTATTACACTCATTTTACAGATGAGAAAACTAAGTCTTAACATGACCAAGTGACTCTTGATTGATTCTGAGGTGCATATGCCTCTCTGCAGTTCTACCTCTCAGTGTTGCCTTTCTGAATGTTGACATATTAACTTCAACTTCCCATAGAAAAATCACAGAAGGAGACTTTGTGTGCATCAAAGGTACAGTTACAAGTTTTTAGATGGGCTGTTTTCTTGGCATCCATTTAGTTGACGGTTACTTGGGAATTTTAGAGAAATTCTGGTCTACCCTTAGTGTGCTCAGGGTCAGCTACCTCAGAGCCCTAGATCATCAAGCTCTTCCTGTTCTGGCTGTCTACTCCTTAACAAGGTTGTGACTCTCAGCCTTTGGCTGAGGTCTGGAAAGTAGCCGGGATGCCTTGCACTATAGCAAAGGAACACAGGGAACAGCAATATTCTGTTGCCAGAAACTCCTCAAAAGCCAGGTGTAAAAAAGCCACATCATGTATGATTCCGTGTATACAAGATGCTGCAGAGTAGGCAAATTCATAGAGACAGAAAGTAAACACTCAGGGATATGGGAAGAGATAATGGAGAGTGACTGCTCATGTTTATGGGGTTTCTCTTTGAGGTGATGGACATGTTCTAGAATTAAATAGTGGAGATTGTTGCACAAACTGTGACATATTACAACATTGAACTGTACACTTTATAAGGGTGACTTTTACGGTATGTAAATAATATCTCAAGAAAGATACTTAAGACAAAAACTAAGCATTTGGAGAATATGCCTAATCTGTTCTTGCCCATACTGCGTAGAGTTAGGGGTTGAGTCGGGGGCAGTGATGGCTTGGGTCGAGGGTTGAAAGATGCTCATGTGTGACTGTGAGCAGATCCATAGGTATCCTCTGTAAAATAAGTTCTCAGGTCCTGGGAGCTGCTGTGGGAAGGGTAGGTGGGAAATGTGGAGGGGATGGGAGGCTTCCTGATTGGGACTGGGCTCACCCCCTTTTAACCAAAAGCAACTCCATTTGTATGCCTTTTATACGTTGAATTCCCATGTATAATTGGCTTGCCTATAGGTCCTCTGTTTAAACCTTTTTGAAAACCCCTGGGCTAGATGTTATCTAAGATATTTTTTCTAACTCAGTTATGTAGTAGCTTCTATAAAGTACCTCAACTTCATACAATAACTCTTGTTCTTTGTGCCATTAGTCTCAAAGAAGGAACTTTGTCTCAAAGCCAAGACCCTGTTGTGTTATTTTCACCAACCTTCCCTCAGATCCTAGTCCAAACTCTCTTTTGTGCTATGCTCTGACTTAATCACATATCTACTAATATTTTCCATTGATTTATAGGACATCAAGATTGTATGGAATGTTTCCTTATAGGGTTGTTGGTTAATATGCAACACCTGGCACATAGTTTGTTTTACCTAAATGTTAGCTATTATAATTCATCTGATACTGTTTTAATTGCTGCCTCTTGGGCTCCAGAGGTTTGGCTGGGTCTTGTTCAAAAGCTTTTCTAGCCATCTCCCAAGCTTCATTTTCTCATCCTCTGTACCACTGTTGTTCCTTTGATTTCTTTCTTCCTTGCAATGTTTAGGACTAAATTAACCATATTTCTCACTTCATGGCCCTTGCCATAATTGGTCTGTTCAGGATCCTCTTTAAATAATTAATTAACTCCCCCCTTTTTAATCTCATAACCCACTTCCATTCACCTCCCCCCGTGATAGAGAAATCTTTTAATGTGTTTACTATGTGTCATAGTAGTTGAATGTGTTCTCACAAAAAATATTATCTTTGTGCAATATTTTGTCCAGTATGTTTTTTGTTTTATATATTGCATTTCTCATCTTTAGATGTTCCATTGGGTCTTTTTTTTTCTACCTTCCATTTCTCTTCTCATTATGTTCATGTTTTCCTCTAACTCCTCTTGAGCACATTTACATTTTAAATGGCTCTTTTAGGGCAACCCCCTTGGGTCTCCTCCCACTGTGGGAGCTTTTCTGTCCTCTCAATAAATTCTGCTTTCTAAAAAAAAACCTCTTTTAGGCCACACATAGTGTCTCCCACCTATAATCCCAGCACTTTGGGAAGCCAAGGCAGGAGGATCGTTTGAGTCCAGGAATTTGAGCCCAGCCTAGGCAGCATAGTGAGACCTCGTCTCTACAAAAATAGAAAAATAAGCCTGGCATGGTGGTGTGCACTTGTAGTCCCAGCTACCTGAGAGGCTGAGGTGGAAGGATTTCCTGAGCCCAGGAGGTCGTGGCTGCAGTGAGCTGTGATCATGCCACT